ATACAAGGGTCTTTGTGGGTGAGCTGTCCCTGCAGGTCTGTGGGGCAGCTGAATAGCAGAGGAAACTGGGCAGTGTTTGGGATGCTGTGTTGGAGATAGACTCCAGTCCTCTGTTGGAGAACTCCTGTTGGAGACTGCTCCAGTCCTGCCTGTCCATCATCCCCTTCCACTGCCTGGCAGCATGATCCTGCCCAGGGCTCTCAGCTCTTTTCAAAACAAAGTGCCACAGTGTTTGAAGGTGGTTTGAGAGGGATTCCCAAAGGCTTTTCTTCCCCTCAAGACAAGGGGACTGCAGGCTGTGTCCCTCAAGGCTCATCCTCATCCTTGCCTCCCTCCAGCCTGCACACCCATCTCAGCTGTGGCCTGAGCACCTGAGCACTGGGATGTTCCCAGATAACTCCACAAACCATAGCTAGGCAGGCAAAATGTCATCATGTCCCCAGAGAATGGCAAAGCAGCTGGAGGCAGGGATGGAACAGGAACCATCTGTTTGGAGAGGGGTTACCCCTCCTCGTGCTCCTCTGGGGAGCCACAGGAACAGTCTCCTGGGGCAGGGAACAGGGGTTGGAGATAGGGACAAAGACTAGTTCCCATGTTTTCAGCCTGAGGAGGAGAAATGGTGTAGCACGTCCCCAGACCAGTGTCCCCATTTCTCATTTCTTGTCATGTGGCTGTAGTTGTGAGCAGGGAGGAAGGAAGGAAGGGGGAACTTTGGAGGAGGCTATGTAAAAGGGGTGGCCTGGCCACTGAGGCAACCTGTCTCTATCAGCAAAATGCAGAGTGTGTCTATGGCAATATCTTTTGGTGAGGCAGGTGGCAGGAACTGGGATAGATGTCAGAGGTTACCAAGATGGAGCTCAGAGGAAGCTGAGGCAGCTTTGCAAGCTCCCTTCTGCATTGACCTTCCCAGTTCTAACCAGCTTTTGCTTTTCCTCCATTTCCTCCTGGCTCTGGACTTGGTGGGACTGGTGCAAGATTTGAGGAAGAGGGGTGCAGGGAGGCAGGGAGACGGCAGGGCCTGGGCAGGCCTTGGGAGAGAAATCCCTTCTGACCCCCCTGACACTGCCAGGGGCTGCAGGGCAGCTCCTGCTCGGGTGCCCTGGGGAGCTGGGAGGTGCTGGGCCTGGTGGGTGCCCTGGCTGCAGGACTGGCTGGATGCTGATGGCAATCAGGTGCTGGGGGGCAGGTGGCAGCAGGGACACCTAGGCTGGGGACATCCCCAGGCAATGATGATGATGATGTAGTTGATGATGGTGCAGTGTTCCCTCAGTAACATCATCAGACTCATAGCCAATGGGAGGCTGTGGCAATGAGGTAATGCAGGGCTCTGGCAGCTCATTGGGCACAGGATGTTTGAATTGGTGATGCCTCAGTATCCCTGGGCTACCCTAGCTGGACGAGGCAGTCATGGCATTGACAGGAAGGTCTTGTCCAGCAAGGTCTGAGCAACATCCTGTTCCAGCATGGGACTGGCATGGATTGGGGTGTCTCCCACAATCACAGGGAAGGAGCCCTAGAGACACAACCTGTAAGGAGGCAGAAGCTGCTCTGTGTCCTAAATGAGGAGGGCAACAGAGAGGATTTTTCCCCTGGCTGCTACAGCTGGGGTGGTACCAGCCGTGCTGGCATATTCCCCACCCTGCCTCCCTCGGTGCTCTGCTGTGGGGCAGTGGTCTGGGAGTGGTGCACCCAGCGCTGCAGCTGCCTATCCTACACCATTAACTCCTTGGGCTGAATGCAGCCCTTGTTGATCTCCAGTTGGGCAGAAGGAGGCTGTGGAACAAGAGTTCTAAGGGAGAGTTCTACTGCCTGCCTTGCAGAAGGGCAGTTCAGGCTGGGTTTGCCTCAGGCAGCAGCCCTGAGTGCTGGGAGCAGGGAAGCAGGAAGTCACTGCTACCTGGGCTTGGCCAAGCTCCTCCAGCTCCAGGGACACCACTGCAGCAGTTCCCCATGAGACACTTAGGTGGGTGCACTCTGCCTCATCCCAGTGACACCAGCTCTGCCCCAGCACCCTCAAGAAGGGGAAGGAAGAGCCCTTGCTCTGTTTTAACCCTCAACAACCCAAGTGTTCAGCAGAATAGTCTCTCCCCCCCCAGCCCATGCTAACTGGCCCTTACTTGGCTTGGTCCCCAGCGAAATGAGGCTGCTGCCTACTCACGCCCGTCCCGCTTTGGGGACGGCTTCCACTCGGTGCTGCTGACCTTCATCGCCCTGGCCTGCGTGGCAGTCATTGCCATCGCAGTGTCTGCGGCTTTCTGCCTCCGGCGCCACGCCAAGCAGCGGGAGAAGGAGCGCCTGGCTGCCCTGGGGCCCGAGGGTGCTGCTGACACCACCTTCGAGTACCAGGTAGGGCCCTGCAGGAGGTGGGACCCCGCACGTGTCTGCATCACTCGGGGTGCATGGAGCCGCCCGATGGCGGCGCGGTGGCCAAGGGACAGGGCTCTTGCTGGCCTTCCCAGGAGCTGTGCCGCCAGCACATGGCTGCCAAGTCTCTCTTTGGCCGCACCGACGCGCCGGCGGCACCGGCGGAGACCTCGAGGGTCAGCAGTGTCTCATCCCAGTTCAGCGATGCCCCACAGCCCAGCCCCAGCTCCCACAGCAGCACACCCTCCTGGTGCGAGGAGCCCGTCCAGTCCAACATGGACATCTCCACCGGCCACATGATTCTGGTGAGCCAGCCTGGAGAGGTGCCAGCCCCCTCCCCAGCCCTGCATCTGCCCCTCTGCTGCCGGGCTGACTCCCGCCCTCTGCCCCAGGCCTATATGGAGGACCACCTCCGCAACCGGGACCGGCTGGCCAAGGAGTGGCAGGCACTCTGTGCCTACCAAGCTGAGCCCAGCATCTGCTCCATTGCCCAGAGTGAAGCCAACGTGAAGAAGAACCGCAACCCTGACTACGTTCCCTGTGAGCATCCCAGCCACCCTGTTGCAGGGATCAGTCCCAGGGACCAGCTGTCCTGCTAGAGCAGGGCGTGGGGCATGGGGACGCTCCGGGCCATGGCTGGTTGCACATCAGTGTGCCTCTAGCTACTCACCAAGTCTCCTGCTCTGTTCCCCCAGATGATCACATGCGGATCAAGCTGAAAGCAGAGAGCAACCCATCCCGCAGTGACTTCATCAATGCCAGTCCAATCGTGAGTGATCACTGAGGGTTCCTGCCCTGCCACCCTGCTCCTCTATGTGCCCATCCTAGGTCAGGTTTTTACTCTGGGGTAGAGCTGGACTGAAATTACATCCCTCAGGGCTACAGATGTGAGCTTTGTGCCTGCCCCATTGCTCAAACAATTGTTAAGTGCCATTTTCATCCTGGCGGGGGCACCTGAATCTCCCTTCCCAACCCTCCTATCACTCCTGGAGTATCCCCCTACTCCTTCAAGTGTCACCAGCCTCTGGCTGAAGAGCGTGAAGTGTGATACACCCTTTCCTCCTCCAGATTGAGCATGACCCACGGATGCCAGCGTACATTGCCACACAGGGGCCCCTGTCCCACACTATTGCTGACTTCTGGCAGGTGAGTGTCACGCAGCTGTGCCAGTACATTGGGGTCCCTTTGTGTGCTGCCCACAAAATGGGTCACAGGGGCTTTACTGCCCTCCCACGTGGGCTGTTCCCCAGCAGTGAAGCCCCCCTTGCCTTGCCCACAGATGGTGTGGGAACATGGCTGCACTGTCATTGTCATGCTGAGCCCCCTCGCCGAGGACAGTGTCAAGCAGTGTGATCGCTACTGGCCAGATGAAGGCTCCTCTCTTTACCACATTTATGAGGCAAGTGTGGCAGGTAGCCTGGGGTATGGAGGATCCTCCAGCCCTTGTCCTCCTGAGCATCAGTGCAGCACTTGCCTGGCTCTGATGCCCACCCTCTGCTTCTCTTGGGCAGGTGAACCTGGTGTCAGAGCATATCTGGTGCGAGGATTTCTTGGTGCGCAGCTTCTACCTGAAGAACGTGCAGTCGCAGGAGACCCGCACCCTGACGCAGTTCCACTTCCTCAGCTGGCCGGCCGAGGGCATCCCCACCACCACCCGGCCCCTCCTCGACTTCCGCAGGTGAGCGCCCACCTGGCACCGTGCCGGCCCTTGGGGAGCCAGCGGCGATCCCAAATGCAGGCCACTGACGGGCGAGGTGAGGACATCGCTGCCACGATGATGAGGGTCGGGGCCATGGCATGGACCAGGTGCAGGGACTAGGAGCTGCCATGGATGGGAGGGAGCAGAAAATACAGGTTTTGGCCAGCTTGGATTGAGGCTCAACAGAGTTTGGTGGGCAAGAAACCTCTGGTTGACATTGCCAGGGCTCTCCAGCCTTCACAATGAGGGTGGGAAAAGTGCTCTTCCTCTGAGCATTGACTGGCACCTTCCTCAGCCATATGTGCAAGAAGAAATCCCCAGTGCCAGTTTTAAATAGGCTGTGACCCACTGCTCCCAATGCCCTGTGGCATAGTGGTGGATCCCCAGCTAGCCCAGGGCAAGGGCTGCAGGACTGGGACTGCTCCCAGGAGACTTGCCTGCCCAAGTCTTTAGATCCCTGGTGGTGGTGGGCTCTTGCCAGGCACAGGCTGCTCACTGTCCCCAGGTTGTGTGGGGCAAGGGACCCAGCCTAAGGCAGCGGGGGTGGGGGGTCTCTGAGCATGTCGCCCTCCACTCAGTCCCGCTCACGCTCTCTCTCTCTCTCTCTCTCTGTCTGTCTCTGTCTCTCTCTCGCAGCTGCCGGCGTCATTTTTGTGATTTGCAGCTAGTAATCTGGCTCCAGTTGCATAGTCACAAAAGTGATCGTTGGCAGCCGTGCCTGCTGCATGGAGCATGCCAGGAGCCCTACCGGCGCCTGGCCCCCAGCTTCACACCCCACCGGACCAGAGCTGCTCCCTGGGGGTCCTGCCACTGCTCCCCTCCCCAGGCTGGGCACCTGAGGAACTGAGCTCCTTTCCCTGCCCCGGCCACTTTCCACTCGTGGTCCCCATCCCATGTCCAGCACCATTACGGAGGGAGGAGGAGCCATGGGTGGGACCCCCAGGGCCACATCATGGTGTGCTGCTGCCCTGCCCCACCGAGCACAGCAAGGGACACCTAGCACAGCCTTGACCCTGGCACAGCAGAGCACTGATCTGTTCCCTCTTATCCTTGCAGGAAAGTGAATAAGTGCTACCGCGGTCGCTCCTGCCCTATAATTGTGCACTGCAGGTACTGCAGGGGAATGAGGGGTATTTGGGCTTGAGGGTGACTGAAGGCTGGGACCTGCTGCCCAGGACCATTCCCATTGGGACCAGCTTCCCTGGACCAAGCATCTGTGTTTTGCAGTGATGGTGCAGGCAGGACTGGGACCTATATCCTTGTCGACATGGTCCTGAACCGAATGGCCAAAGGTAGGTGCAGGGAAGCACCATTTCTGCCCTGTCCATGAGCTTGGCCTATGAACTCCCCTCCTAGCACCCCTCTCTCCCTCTGCCCCAGGGGTGAAGGAGATAGACATAGCTGCTACGCTGGAGCATATCCGAGATCAGCGGCCTGGTATGGTGCAGACCAAGGTATGCCCCAAAATGGGGATCCTCTTCCTCCACCTACGTAACCCCTGGGGCTGAGGTGGCAGGGATCCTCACGTCTCCTGCTGTGCTCCTGCAGGACCAGTTTGAGTTTGCACTGACGGCTGTGGCCGAGGAAGTGAATGCCATCCTGAAGGCACTGCCACAGTGATGGCAAGGAGCCCTCCCTCCCCTCTTGTCTGCTCCCTGCCCTGCGCTTCGCACTCTCCTCACCGGCCTCTGGGGCTGCTCTCCCTGTAAAATGGTGTCTGTGCTTCTGGCTCTGCTCCCCCCACCCCCAGGCACCCCTTCCCATCTCCCCAAGGACATTGACTCAGGCCCTCTGTGTGCAGGAACCCCACCACACCCACTGTCACCTCAGAGGGGACAGGGCTTGTGGCCCTTAAGCCCTGTGGAGGGGAACACCAGGTGGGGCTGGTGGGAACTGGCAGGGGGACTCCCCAGCCTGTCAGTTCCATGTTAGCCCTCTTCCTGTACCCATGTGGGGGGCAGAAGTGGGGGCGAGGGTCCTCCACAGCTGGAGATAGCATGGGGTGCAGGGGGCCTGGCCCAGCCCCACTCCTGGTCCCCTTTGTGTGCTCCCTGCCTAGTCACTCGAGCAGAAGAAAAATTTCTAGAGAACTATAATTTTGTATCTTGATGTGAATAAAGTTCTTGTGTTACGTTCGTGCAGCTGCAGCCAGGCCTGCCCTCTGACTGTGTGTATTGGGATGGCACAGGGAGGAAATGTGACGTTCATCCATCTCCATCCCTGCACTCTGCAACTGCCAGACAAGTACAGCTCACCTGCAGGCAAAGCTGAGAACCCTGCATCCCCAGCCCAGAAAGTCCCCACAGGCAGGAGCTACTGCAAACAGGTTTATTGACGGCTGTTAGCAGAAGGGGGACAGAGAGGGGGGGCTACAGCGAGGAGGGGGGCTGAGCCCAGCCCTGCTGGCTGAGCCCAGCCATGCTGCCCCTCGCTGCGTACAGCCAGCAGCCTAATCTACAGCAACCCCCATCACCACCCTCTCCACCACCCTGTGGTGCCCAGGGCCTCTCCCCCCAGCCCCAGGTATTGCTTGGCCACAAGCCCTGTCATGCCTCCCCTCACCGCATCCCGGAGCCAGAGGGTGCTGGGGAAGGGGGTGGCAGGGGGTGGCCGTGCAGGGAGAAAGCGGAATCCTGGCTGGGAGAACCTCCGTGGGCGTGCGCGGTCCCCGGGCGCAGCAGCCTCAGAACACACCTGGGGAGACAAGCGGAGGGGGGTACACAACAGCACCTGTGAAATCCTCCTCGGCCAAGGGCTGGGGAGAGGCAGGCATGGAGGGAGGGAGGTCCCATTAGGAGGAGGAAGACAGCCAAGGCAGAACTATGGGCAATGAAGAGGGTAGGAACACTTGTGAACATTCACGGAGGGTCACTGCTGCTGTGGGAAGCAAGGAGGGACAGTGCCCTGGAGGGTGTGCAAGGCATACAGAAGGGAGTGACCAGGCAGAGTCTGCAAGGAGCCGGGGGAGGACGAGTACGGGCAGGAGCAAGAGCATCCAGAGCAAAGAGACAAGACCCAAGGCACCGAGCAGAGGCTATGTGCACAGCCCTCCTTGCAAGGAGGGGAGCTCAAGTCAGCACTCCCTGCAGCCTGGGCAGGGGCAGGCTGCAGCCAGGGAGGCACCTGTTGGAGACCCTGCCTGCCTGGAGGGCTGGCAGGGAGAGAGGGGCAGGCACAGCCAGAGCATGCCTGTCCATGGGCTCCCCACACTTCCAGCAGACAGGGCAGGCAGCTGCCCCTCTTCCTGGGACCCCATCAAGGGGGCTCCTCTTCAAGCCACTACTTCCAAGTCTGAGAGCCTCCAACGCTGGGATGCCACTAGCCATCCACTCACCTGAGCAAGGAGGCAGGGCAGAAGAGACCCCCCTCCCTTGCTATGGGAGGCAGGAGCTGAGTTCCAAGCAGAAAGACTCCAGCCCTGCTTTCCTCTCCCTGCCTCACACTCAGAGCAGGGGGCAGTGCCACAGCTTCACTTTGGGGGCAGGTTCGTGCCCCCCTGCAGCAGAATTGCTGGCCCCCAGTGGCTCCTGCTCCAGCCTCCCCCGGGCACCACGGGCTCTGCGGGTGGAGGACGGGCTGCTGTGGCTGCCCCCCGGAGCCGACAGGGAGCCGGGGCTGTGCCCACCTGCTTGGTGGTGCCCCGCAGCTTCCATCTCAGAGAGGCTGTAGGCCATGGCCAGCTGCAAGTCCTCATCCTCATCCTCGCTATCCGTGTAGAGGCAGACAGGTGAGGAGCTCGAGGTCTGGTGTGGGGCTGGTGCTGGCGGGGAGGGGGCCCGTGGCCTGGGGAAGGCTTGCTGCTCCCGCCGGCTCAGCTCCAGCCCCAGTGCCATGTCATCAGGAACACCTGTGGGGACACACGCAGGGACTGGGGGACTCATCCACTCCAGTTCCTCAAAGGTGGCGTGGGGCACTGGCACCCCCAACCCACCCCACCAATCCTTCAGAGCAGAGATCCAAACCAGGGCCAACCAAGGCTCAGTCCAAACCAAAGCCTGGATGCAGGATCTCAGACACCCCAAAGGGAAAGGGTGCAGATCTCAACAACTCCGTTTGCAGAGCCCCTTCTCACCATCAATGTGGATCGACTTCAGCTCCCCATCCTCCTCCACTTCCACCCGCTCCCGCCCGTTCTCAATGATCCTGCAGACAGGCAAACAAACAGATGGACGGTCAAGGGCCATGCAGCCAGAGCACCACAGCAGAAGTTGCAGGGTCAGAGGCCTGCTGATGGCGGAGAGTCTGTGGGAGCAAGGTGGACTGGCACTGCCCTCACCTCTTGGTGGTGATACGCCTGCCGTTGACAAAGGTGGTGGAGGTGGAAACAGAGCGGAAGCCCAGTCCTGCGTCTGCACCAGAGCTGAAGGATGAGGCGAAGAAATCTAGAGAAGGGAACAACGTGGTTGGTGGCTGGCTGGGTGGCAGGAGGGCAGGGGACAGACTCTGTAGAGGGGAACATGGTGCTCTAGGACTCCCCTGCTGGGAGGAATGGCAGCATCTCCTACCTGAGGATCCTGGGAAGGGGGAAAAGAAGTGGCCTCCCCCATGGTGCCGGGGGCCAGGTCCTCGCAGCTCAGAGAAGGGCAGCATGTCATCTGAAAGGCAGGGGCCCCACATCAGCATTACCCCATCAGCTTGGTGAACCAGGAGCAGGGCACTGATGCAAGGACCCTCTGCCAGGGCCAGCCATGAGCTCTATCCCCAAGCTCAGCAGCTGCCCCACAGACAGAGAGATGCCCAAGAGCCAGCCTCCCATGCCCCACACGCACCAAAGAACTCAGCAAAGGGGTCTCGTCCGCCAAAGAACTCCCGGAAGACATCGTGAGCACTGCGGAAGGTGAAGGTGAATTCAGGGGCCCCAGCACTGGCCCTGGATCCGCCTGGTCCTGCTGGAGGGAACACACTCAGTGTTAAATGGAGCCCTGGGTGACATCTCCCCTGAAGGGTAGGGAGCCCTGGTGGCACTGACCCACATTGGGTCTCCAGACAGGGATGTACCCAGAGCTGCCCTAACCCCTACAGCCCCACTCACCTGCTCCCATGAGTCCATCCTTGCCATAGCGGTCGTACACATCACGCTTCTGCTCTGGAAGAAGAAAGGGGGCTGCAGGGAAGCTGTCTGCCAGGTGGAGACAGGAGCACTGACACTTCTCCCAACTAAAGGAGGTGCAGAATAGCAGGGAGCAAGAGGAGGTGGCTGGCACAAGCCCCTGCCACCCCAGCACTGCACCGAAACCAAAATAAGACCACTGGGCAAGAATGCAAAAGCTTCAGGCCCATTAGGGAGAGCCCACTGTGGATGTCAACAGCTCAGCATCTCTCTCAAAGGCTCTTTTGGGAGATGTGAGGAAGTAACAAAGACCCAAAAGATATGTGGTAAAGCTGTAAAGATTCACTGCCTCCAGAGGACAGCCAGGGATGAAACCTGGGTGAGCCCAGAAGCAGAACATCCTGCTTCTGTGTGAACAGCTTCAAGGGCAGACACATACACACACAAAACACATCACTGTGGCCTCTTACTGTCCGACAGCACTTCGTACGCCTCGGCGATCTCCTTGAACCTCTGCTCAGCATATTCCTTGTTGTCTGGGTTTTTATCCGGGTGCCATTTCAGCGCAGCCTTCCTGTACCTGCACAGAGGGGCAGTGATGGGCACACAGCAGCCCTTGGGCTCTTGGGCCAGCACCCCCCATCTGAGCATGCACCTCCTAGCCTGTGGGCAGCAGCACTCCAAGCCCGCTTCACCCAGCATCTTACAGACTCAGGCACTGAATAGGAGCTCCTGGACTAGTTATTCCTTCCAAGAGTACGTGTTTTCATATATAAATATACATATACATACACATATATATATGTATATATATAGATATATACATATTTATGCATACACCAACACACAAATACTAAACAAACAAAACAGAAATTACCCCAGAACTGCAGCACAACCACAGCAGAGCAATGTGTGCCCACCTCAGCTGCCCTCATTGATGGCTCTGGACAATGCTCACAGGTTTGTTCTGGAGCCTTCATGGGCTCCACTGAGTGTGCATGGACCAGGGGTTGCTACAGGGCCCCTGGGGCCAGGAGAGCACCATCAGCCCTCTTGTCCCCACTGCAGTTAGCTAGGGTTAACCCATGCTTCTCAGCTTCTGCCACTCACTCTCGGGAAGCCCCTCACCAGGACCTCTGCCACCTGTTGGCAAGCCAGCAATCTGCTGGCATTCTCAGGCGATGCCTCACCCCAGTGAGAGCAGCAGCAGCTCGGCAGGGCACCAAGCAGGAGCTGCAGAGACTCCGGAGGCTCTGCCAGCTCCCCACTAGTATCTGGGGCACAGCAACAACCTGCACAAAGGGCCCACATCCCTAAAAAGGGACATGCTGCTGTTCACTCTGTGATCTCCAGTCCCCTGACTGATGCCAGCAGAGTCCTTGTGCCCCAAGCATCTGCCATCCCTGCACCCTCTGGCAGAGCGAGAAAGGGGAGCCTCCAAACACCACTGAAACTTGCCTCCAGCCCTAGGCCCACAGCAGGGAGAGAGGAACCAAACCCCACCAAAAGATGCCTTTGTATGGCAGCAAAGCCCAACCCCGCTCTGGCATCCATGCAAAGGAAACAAAGGCTGAATTGTCACCTCTGCAGCTGGGCCCTGTCCCCACAGGCCCCGAAGGGAGCCCCTGCCTCTCTGGCACCAGGTGGGGGTGGCTTGGGGGACTCTGCCCCACAGGCAGAGGCACGCTGCCATACACTTACGCCTTCTTGATGTCCTCAGCGGTGGCGTTGCGGCTCACCCCCAGCGCTTCGTAGTAGTCGACCATGACGTGAGCTGTCCCACGGCGTCACTGCAGGGGGAGAAGGCAAAGTCAGGGGTCCACAGGCACAGCCTGGTAGCGCTGGGTGTGGGACAGCACGGGCAGGCTGCCTACCCTCTCTAGCGCCCCGGCCACCCCACTGCCTGCCGAGAGCAACTCGGCTCTCCCACGCCCAGCTCCCAGCACCCGCGGCACCTACAGCCCCGGTCGGGGGCCCCTGTGCTGCTGCCGCACCGCCGTCCCGCCGGTCAGCCCAGCTCGCCCAGGCGGGGGAAGGGGTCCCGCTCCCTGCCCGCTTCCCCGGGGCTCAGCGGCGGGGCGGGGGCAGCGGGAGGGC